TATCATGACATATAAACAAGAAACGTATTATCTTCATTATCGTCCGATTTTTGACGTTATAAAGGAATTGTTGAGCAATAAGGATATATTTGCCCATTGTACTTTTAAATTTACACTATTAAATCATAACGGAGAAAGAATATATAACGAACAATATAATGGACAATGGTGGTAAAGAGTCCAAAAATCACTTCCTAATGGTGCAAATGTATTGTCAGTAATTTTATATTCGGATGCTACGACACGTGATCACTTAGGAAAGACCAGCGAACATCCCATTTATTTTACACTTGGTAATATAGTTAGTTGTCGCAGAAATAGGCCTTATGCCAAAATACTTTTGGGTTATCTGCCGATCCTAAAGGCAAAAGATATTTCACAAAAGAGGTCAAAGAGTTTTCGGTTAGCCAAGCGAGTCCTTTATCAATATGCTTTAAATATATTGACATGATCGTTACTTGACTATAATGGTGGATTTGATCTTCAAACAGATAATGGTATAAAGTGGTGTTTTCCGTTTATTTCCGTAATGTTAGGAGATTTACCAGAAAATGCTGCGGTAACTTTAACATTTAACTCTGTTAATTGTCACCACCCTTGTCATAAATGTTTGGTGGAGCGTGAGAAGCTGAACAATGTGGAGTTAACAAACGATCAAATTATCTTAAAAACACCAGAAAATATGAGATGTCTTGTTGAACAAAATTCTGCACAACAATATTCTCTACACGATATGAAAAACATCTTTTGGAATTATCCGTACGTATCATGTGATTTTTAAAGAAAGTGTGTTTATTTTGCCAATTATTTTCTAATATATTTACTCGAAAATAAACGATAGTCAGTTAAATATTTATTTGTCAACAATACCTGACCGAATGCATCATCTCGACTTGGGATTGTTTAATTATCAAGTGACCTACACAAGGGTGTTGTTAAAAGAATTGTGTGGTCAAATAGCGGTTGACGAACTTGATAATCGTTTGGTTAAAATCCCACGATTTCCTGGCCTTAAGATATTCAAGAATGGCCTGGAAAATATTAAGCGGTTTACTGCCAATGAATTTCGGAATATGATGAAGGTATTTGTTTTCGTCATAGAAGGAATAGTCATAAACCACCACAAATCATTGATAAGTACATCCCGAGCCAAACGATCTGATGAAGCATTGGTTAACGTGTATTATTATTGGAATAAGATGTATTTATACAGCCTACGGGAGTATTTTAAGGAATCAGAGCTGGTGATTTTTGATGTATGATAGCGAGATAATATGATGATTAGTTTTTTATGAATATTGCAATTAACATGATTATATTTTATTTTGTTTAAAGAATCTAATCAAACAATGGGCAAAGAGCTTTATAAAACTATTTAAAGAATATTCTCTATCTGAACTTCTATTACCAAAGCTGCATAATTGGTGCTATCATATCATTAAGACAATTAGAGAATATGGAGCAATCAACGGGTTTACGATGGAAACGTATGAATTTTTACATAAAGAAGCCGTAAAAATACCCTATAGGTCTAGTAATAAGCGTGACC